GTCTGTCTCTCTCTCTTTCCACCATCCCCCACACCCAAAGGCTAAAATAACAAAACAAGCATAGAACCTGCAAGCTTGAGCCTGGCCCGGAAATAGTCCCGATCTGAAAACCAGCAGGTGTACCGTTGGGGAGGACAGCCAGAAAGGTTTGGGAGCTGAGGCACAGCTTCCAGTACATCCCATTTGCCTTCATATTATCGATCGTCCACATACAGGGAAGGTGATATATACGTATTGCCAAAATCCTGGAAATGGGGTCTCGGGGTAGCAGCGAGGCAATCAGACTGTCTTGAGAAGACAGGCCAACCCACACTCTTATGAGCAATTTTCGCTCACTCAAAACCAGACTATCGTGCTCTCACATTGGCCAACTGACCATGCATGATACATATTATATACATCAACGGCCGTGTAAAGCTCAACTCCAGCAAAAGTGATAGGCACAAACCACAACAGATCTCAGCCGATTTGGGCAGATCTTAAGTAGACTTCCACAGGCCGCAGCAAAGTATTATTGACAGACCATAACAATTCGCTCTAGATCACCGCAGACTACCGACTCGGAGGCAAACCTTTGACAGCAACAACTCAACAAAAACATAACAAGAACAAAATCGTTCTCAGACTGTGGGAAAGCTGAATAAATAAGTCGCCTGGGAAGCAAGTGCCCTGGAATTTTATGCGTCGTGATCTTGAAAGAGGCAATCAACTCTGGACTGAAATGGGTGAAGCAGTCAGCTTACGAAGCTCCTCGAGAGTTAGGTTGTTTTTCATGATTTGGAAGTGGCCAGGAGCCTACAGTTTTCACCCGAATAGAACACCCGGTAGTTATCGCTGTATCTGGGCTGAAAGTTGAGCCAAATACAGCTAAAATGACAGGGCGTTCTATTCGGGTGAAGACGGTAGGAGTAGGGTTTAGTTTAGTTAGGCAAAATGAGTGCCTATCTGTAGGTCTCCTTGTCTTCCTGTTTTGAAGTCCAGCTTTCCACTTTGTTTCTGTGTAACAGTTGCATTGATATGGGACGCTGGACCCCGTTTTCCAGTAAAAGCCCAACTGGGTAAAGGGCCCCAGTTCTCTGGGTTGAGATGTGGATGGATTCCTGGCCTCCTTTTGCTTCTTGTATAATGGACAATGCAACCTCCTTTACGTTAGACCAGCAGAACACCAATTAACTTGCAGCTCATGTCAAGGTCACTGTTAGAATGCACTCATCAAGACATGGGCCTTTTAAAAAAAAGCCCTCCAATGGCAGATTATTCATAGATGTCTGCCCACCCCTGATTGGCTGACAGACAGGACTGATCTGGAGAAAAAATGGCTTCTGTCCCCGCTTTGCTCTTATTGCTCTGACACCCCCCCCAGAAAACGAGCCGCATTGGAACATTGTCTTCTTGACTGTCCAATGGTGATCCGACTCTGGCGATGGTGGGACGCAGCTTGGCACTATTCGTCAGGCCGCCACCTACCTTGGACTTTGCAGGCCCTCCTTTTTGGTGTTACCACAGATGGAGAACACTGGTCACCATTTGCTCTCAATCTGTTTCAATACACCCGCCTCGCCCTTCTCGTGGCGGCCTGGAAGACGAGGTGTTTGTACGAAAGAGGCCAACACCTGTTTGAATTTCACCAAGCTAAAGCTGAAATTA